GGGGGGGGGGGGGGGAATGGGCTTTTTTTTTTTTTTTTTAATTAAGTCGAATTTCCGGTGCATTGAGAAATAATCTTTCAACACGGCGCCACTTGCAGAACCACGATTGAGTTTGAGACGATAACATCACGATGCTGTATTTTGAGCCAGCTTGTCTAAATTGTCTGAACTAATGAAAGGACACATTTGCTGAACCTTTCCATCAACGGTAATTTTATTTTATAAAGCTGTTTCAGGTTTCTTCAGACATGCATTTTTGGAACAATTTTTTGTGAGAGGTCATTGGATAACAAGAGTACAGCCGGAAGGGTGTTGGATTTCAAGGGTATAGACGGGAAAAATCATTGATTACAAGGGTATAGACGGGAGAGGTCATTGATTACAAGGGTAAAGACGGGAAAAGTCATTGATTACAAGGGTATAGATGGGAGAGGTCATTGATTACAAGGGTATAGACGGGAAAGATCATTGATTACAAGGGTATAGACGGGAGAGGTCATTGATTACAAGGGTAAAGACGGGAAAAGTCATTGATTACAAGGGTATAGACGGGAGAGGTCATTGATTACAAGGGTAAAGACGGGAAAAGTCATTGATTACAAGGGTAAAGACGGGAAAAGTCATTGATTACAAGGGTATAGACGGGAGAGTTCATTGATTACAAGGATATAGACGGGAAAGGTCATTGATTACAAGGGTATAGACGGGAGAGGTCATTGATTACAAAGGTATAGACGGGAGAGGTCATTAATTACAAAGATATAGACTTGAGAGGTCATTGATTATTATGGTAAACTTAAAATTTCCAAGACTTAGAATGTACGGCGTTCCTACTCCACGGGAAACCTGCTCCAAGATGTATCTACTCCACGGCGTACCTACACAAAGGTCGTACCTACTCAAAGGGCGTACCTACTCCAGGTCGTACCTCCTCCACGTGTACTTACTCCATGACATGACTACTCCATGGTGTATCTACTCCAAGGGCGTAGGAAGAGCGGGGCGAAGGAGGCGGTCCGCCCTGGGGATGACTTATTTCGGGGCGTCATTTCTTTGGTTCACTTTATATATATACTTTTTATAACGTTATACATATGTTCACTCTGTGTAAATTATGTTTTTCATTAATTATGGACGGCATAATTGAGGACCAGCCTTTGGCGTCACAGTTTATGACTATTCCAATGACCTCAAAAAATAGCTGCCCCACCCACCCCAACCAGTCAAAGTCACACACTTAGTAAAAATTAAGCACGGTAAGATGACAGACGTGTGCTGTTACGTAACGCGATTCATCCACAATCATTATGACTTCGTTGATCCTGTCAGAGGTGTGTGGGCTCAGCGCCAAATTTTCCCTGATTTGGAATAGCCTTGAACTTCAAGATTATAAAACGCAACGTGCTACACTGTGTTTCCGATTTTGTATAAATAACTTCTTCCAACTATTAAAGCTGAAATGATGCAATAAGCGCCTAGCCAGGAATTACCGTAGCCGTTCACGTAAACACACAGCATGTTTCTAGTTATTAAAGATATTCAGCGAAGCTTTTGTAAGGTAGCCTGGTGTGCAAACAAACAAAAAAAAGAAGAAAAAAAAAAGAAAAGCCATGAAATTATCTGGCGTGTAGGACACTTCCGGGCTTGAAAGAAAGTCTAGGATTCGTACGGGAAAATTCCTGGTGTGTAGGCAAGTCTCAGGTTTGTCGGAAAGTTTCGTTGTGAGGGAAGTCTCAGTTGTGAAAAAAAAAAAAATCTCTGGTTTCGAGAAATTCTTTGACCGCTAACTTAAAAGCACTGATAGCTTCCATTATCCATGTAGGTATGAACGTTAAGAGACATAGTCATGACATTAAAATAAAATACATTTATGAAATAAAGAACAGCAATGTATATTCACCCACCCCACCACATAACTTTTACAAGGCAAACCATGGACGGCAGCCAGCAAGATCGTTTATCGGTCAGAGGAGGGCAATCAGTCAGGGTAGTATAATTTAAAAATATATGTTTTGAATGCCTGGGTGCTTGGTATATTGCGTATGTTTAGTGGCAAAGAATTCCAAATATCTACACCTATTTCATTTTTGAGTTGGTGAAAAAATGTTTACTTATTTATTTCAACCAGTTAATGTGATGCAAAAAAAAAGGTTCCTGCAACGAAGTAGTTAGCAATAACGGTGTTGCCTCTTGTTTAAATAACTGTTGTTTCCTATTGTATTAATAATCGGTGTTGGCTAGGGTATGAATACTTGGTGTTGCCTAAGCTACAAATGCTTGGTGCTGCCTAGGGTAAAGATATTTCTTTTTTTTTTCCTATTGGATAAGTAACTCGTGTTGCCTAGGGTATAGCTACTTGGTGTTGTCTATTGTATAAATAATTGGTTTTGCCTGTGGTATAAATTTTAAAAAATTTGCCTAGGGTATAAATACTTGGTGTTTACCGTAGAGTGTCCCAAAGTCATGGTCCGCGGACTAGCATAAAATAGTAAACGTGTTTAATAATAAAGCGCTCTCACATTGGCTGATCATGGATAAGAATATCGTTTATGACAAATTTATGGTCCAATAAAGATATTTTAAAAAATTAATAAAGCTGGCACCGCCCCCGCAGAGTGGGAAATTTATCCAACTGTGCACCAAATTTAAAAGTTTTGCAAATACTCTCCAAGGGAATAAATACTTCTATCATAGGACCCTAACGTATAAATACGAGTAGTTACCAAAGGTATAAAAACTTGGTGTTGCCAAGTTTAGAAGTGAGTTCGTGTAACTAAAGGGTGCAAGTGCATGTCTATACCCAGTTTGCAATAGGTGGCCATACCTTAAGTGCATGGGCTTGGTTGCACAAGGGGTACCAGTACTTGACCGTACCTAGGGTACCAGCGCTTGGCCGTACCTAGGGTGAAAGTGATCAGTCTTACCTAGGGTACCAGCGCTTGGCCGTACCTAGGGTGAAAGTGATCAGTCTTACTTTGGGTATCAGTGCTTGGAAGTACCTAGATTACAAGTACCTGGCCGTACCTTGGGTACCAGTACTTGGACGTACCTAATTACAAGTACTTGGCCGCACCTTGAGTACCAGTGTTTGACCGTACCTAGATTACAAGTTCTTGGCCGTACCTTGGGTACCAGTGCTTGGCCGTACCTAGGGTGAAAGTGCTTAGCCGTACCTAGGGTACCAGTGCTTGGCCGTAGCTAGATTACAAGTTCTTGGCCGTACCTAGGGTACCAGTGATTGGCCGTACCTTGGCAGGAAGTACTTAGCCGTGCCTAGCCTGCACGCACTTGCCCATAACTAGAAAGCAAGTTCACCGCTGACCTAAAAGAGCCTTGCACTGGTTCTGATAAAACATGCAATTGTGTAAATACTTGAATGAATCTTATCGCTGAAAGCTTTTTTTGATAAGAGAACCTCAGGGATTTTCCACCTCGCTCTTTCCGTCATTCAGACAAAGCCGAACTTGAACAACGGCCTCAATAAATAAACACCCTCCCAATGACACGGTCGTGTTTTTTTCTTGAAAACTCATTCATACACTGATCGATTCAATTCTCCCAACAACGAAACGTGCCTCAGGATCTCCAGCGTGAGGACCTTCGTGTGAGGTTCATACCGTTGTGTTATGGTGTTTAATGCTAGGTGGACTCATTGGTAAATATTTTATGTTACGCATTTTTTTTTTTTTAATTTCACTTAACGTATTTAAAAGACGACTTTTTTTTTAGCTCTGGTCTTTCGGTTTAAAAAGAGTCATATTATTGAAATGTTTGTTCCAGTTTGGACTAACCCATTTATCGAAATAAAAGTTCAGATAGGTCACAGATATAACCAAAAAAAAATGATGTGGGTCGCGACATTTGATAAGACTTCGTACATAGTTCTGGGGGTGAGAAAATTTCCAAGCGCTTGAAGTGAGGGCAACCGTCCTTGGTAGCTTTTTGGTAATATATCTATAACCAAGATTTTATAAAAGATACTTCGGGTAGCGGGATTTCTTGTGTGTGTGTGTGTGGGGGGGGGGGAGTTCGCCCTGGCTACAATTTGCAAAGATACGCAATGAAAGTAAAGTAGTGGAGACATTTTGAAATGATACGATTATGTCGCAAGCCGATCATGTTACAGATGTGAAAATGAGGATTACATCTTTTTTAAGAAAATGAAGTGTTTTGTCATTTGTTTTTGATTTTTTGTTATTTATTTTGTTACTTTACTTGTTTGTTATTTGTTTGTTATTTTTTATGTTATGTGTTTGTTATTCGGTTCTTATGTGTTTGTTATTTATTTTATTTTGTTTTGTTGGTGGGGGTTTTTTTCGTTGTTTTTTTGTTGTTGTTTTTTTTCAATTGTCCGTAATTCCTGTTCAGGAGCATGGAAAAAAGATTAGATACATTTTTAACATGATAACTATGTCTCAGAACCCAAAGTTGAACAGATGTATATTTTGTATAATTTGTATATAAATTTAATTAATTATCTTTTTAAAATAAATGATTTTTTTTTTTATTCGTAAATATATTTTTTATAAATATGCACATCATTCGAGGTGTTGAAAATAAGGAGGGTATTTTTGTTAATACCAATAATCTCACATCTCAATCCCGTTACAGGCGTGCAAGTCGGTCTTTAACATCACTCTAGATTTAAAATATAGGTGTATTTTCATTTCATTTCTTTAAATGCAGTTCAGGGGTGATGAAAGAGGTAGGGTAGAATTTTAGATTGCTACAAACATCTCAAAACGATTTGATCAACAACAACAACAAAATACACCAAAAAAAAACAACACAAAAAAACCGACCCAAAAAAAAAAGGAAATTTCAAATCTATATTGTAATTCAACTAAAGACATATTTGTTTACACTTGTATAGTTCTGGGCGTGATAACATAGAATCCTAACATTCTCAGTAGCATATGAATTTCTCAAAACCAAATGATTTTATAAACATGAACGTTCGTATGCAAAATCATCTTTTTTTTTTTTTTTCTTAATTGTGTGTGTTCTATCTTGAGAATATGCAGGAAAGTTTAGATTTAACAAACATCGGAACATACACGGGCTAAAACTTCTCAATAAATGGTAGGTTATAGCTAAATTTATTTCTCAAAACCAAATGATTTTATAAACATGAACGTTCGTATGCAAAATCATCTTTTTTTTTTTTTTTCTTAATTGTGTGTGTTCTATCTTGAGAATTTGCAGGAAAGTTTAGATTTAACAAACATCGGAACATACACGGGCTAAAACTTCTCAATAAATGGTAGGTTATAGCTAAATTTGCTTATAATTATTATCCGGTTTACATCGGATAGTAGTTGCTAGTACCAAAATAATATAAATACAAACAGCCTATGTCATTTAAATGGTAAATACTTATTTTATTAAACACATCGCCTTTATGAAGTTTGTATCAATTTTTTTTTAAATGCCTTCATAATTAATTTATATTTATTTTACTTTTTGCCTCCCCTTTGGGGGATAAAGCAGAACAAATTGATACATTTTGGACGCGGCGTCCATTGACACGATGGTCAACTGGTCAACTTTTGTAACGCCCACAATTTTGAGGAGAACGTGGAATGGAAAATGCAAGATTCTTTCCCTAACGGTAACGTTCTTGACATGCGGGTACCTTACCCTGTTCGTTATTCCAGTACGCAATGTCATACTCTCTTCGGTCATTGAGTACGGTTGGCGCGATATGGAGACATCGGACCTGATCAGGATCCATTTCTGTCAAGACAAAGAACCCGAGGGCATTTTATCGAGCACGTCATGTCCTGTTTTACACAAACCTCAAGTCAACGTAAGTGATATTATCACTTCGTCCCTGGTGTCCCACGATCACTTGCTGTTTCCGGAAGTTCAGAGGCGGGTGTTGGAGAAAGGTCACGGGCGATTCCTGCCCGCTCTAAACCTGACACAGAAAGTCGAGATTTTGTTGTTGTATAAAGTAGCCGCCGCAGCCCTGGAATCTGTTGGTGTGCAGCACTTCTTGGTGGATGGGAGCTTGCTGGGCTTGAGTAGACACGGGGGGTTTGTGCCCTGGGACGACGACCTGGACGTATCTGTTTTTTTAGACTCCTGGCATCTGGTCAAGAAGGCGTTGTCTTGTATCGAAGGCTTCACGTTGTACAAACCTCATTTTGCACATTGGAAGTTCCACTACAAGGATCGTCTCTACCCTTTTCTGGACATTTTCTTCTACATGCTGGATGAGTCTTACGTGTGGGCCGCTTCATATTACACTCGGATAACCTATATTTACCCCAAGAGATTTGTCTTTCCGTTGGGCGAGTCCATTTTCGAGGGTATGAAGGTTCCGGTGCCCAAAGACAGTCTGAGCATAGCAAGACGAATTTATGAATATGATTTGTGCTTCGCGTATCGAGGACATTTAAAACACGAAGCAAGCGGATCAGAAGATAAAGGATATTCCATATCGAATGTGTCATGCCAAGAATTATCATACATGTACCGGTTTTATTAACGTTAAAAGACTTGCTTGTTGTTGTGGGTTTTTTTTGGTTTTTTTAGTTGTTTTTTTAAATAAATGTTTGTATCATTGAGAAGTAGATCATATTATCATTGTGAGCTGAGCATTCTAAAAATAGATTCAACACTTCAGATCTCGTTCTAAAGTTTATTTATTTCTCTGCTTTAGTAAATTTGACTTTCATATTTTTAAATGTTACTGGGCTCATACTATGCTGCTCTTCTCCTAGCTGCTCAAACAGTCCCAGCCAACAGAGTTGCTCCCAATTTCTAAACATTTATCGTGTCCTCTCGTTTTCCCTTTTTTTTATATTTACTGTAGCTATTCCCCCATATAAATATATTATCAAAGGTGGGTGTACGTCTTCCATGCTTGAGAACCGCTCCTTTTTTTTTCCTTATCTATACGTCCGGCCAGCCTAGACAAAGGGGCTCACCCAACTACGTCATTACGTTCAGAGAACGGACCTTTCTTCATTGCTTAAGGCCATATCCTTATTTGTATAGACTTTCCTTAAAGAGAGTGAGAAATAAAGCACAGTCTTTATTTTTCTCAAACTGTTGGCCGTGTGTCATGTGTGTTTTTAATTGTTGTCCTATATAAATTAAGCATAATTACACTTGTGACGTATTTACTCGTGTAGTGCCTTCATGCAGCCAGGTCCTCTACATGGCCAGGTCCTCCACACAGCAAGGTCCTCCACCCAACAAGGTCCTCCACACAGCTATGTCTTCCACACAACCAAATCCTTCAAACAGCCACGCCTTCTACTCAAACAGGGCCTCCACACAGCCAGCCCTTTACAAAACCATGTCCTCCATATAGCCAGGCCTTACAATCAATTATAAAAAGTGTTAGACTGCAATAAAGCTTTAAAATAGATTAATTAGAATCAACCTTACAATCAACCGTGCCCTCCATATAACCAGGACTTCTTTTCAACCATGTCCTCCACATAGCCAGGCCCTCCACACAGTCAAGTCCTCAACACAGTTAGTTTGGTCCTTCCTGGTCTTAACCTCAATATGTCAGCAATTAAATTATAATGCTATTGCTTCAATGTTGGTAACTCGGTGCATGAACAGGGACATTCTTGGTGTACAAGTAAATTGATGCATGATTGGGGACATTTTGGTGTACATGTAAATTGGTGCATGATTGGGGATATTCTTGGTGTACACTTAAATTAGTGCATTAGAAGTGACATTCTTGTTGTACAAGTTAGCTACTACATGATTGGGGATATTCTTTGTGTACATGTAAATTGATGCATGATTTGGGATATTCTTGGTGTAAATGTAAATTGGTGCATGAGTATAGACATTCTTGGTGTACAAATTAATTGATTCGTTATTGGGGATATTCTTGGTGTACAAGTAAATTTGTGCATGATTGGGGATATTCTTGGTGTAGAGGTAACTTGACCATCAAATCTATTATATTTAGTTGTTGTTGTTTTTCTAGAGTAGCAGGTAATTGGGAAGAGTGTGTAGGAAGGGTCAAATAAATAAGAAAAATTTTAACACATTTAGTAAGTTATAACATCAGATGAGATTGTAAAAATTGTTTATTTTAGACTCTGATATTAGTGATCATACTTTTTGTTGTTTTTGTTTTTTGTTTTTTTCTTTTGTTATTTCTCTTAAAACTAATGAGGATTTTTTTTTTGGCAGTTATCATTACTTTATTATTAGTAGTAATTTTAGTGCTAGTATTTTATTATTATTATTATTGCTAATGTTGTTGTTACTTATGTATTTAATTTTTTTTTCTATTTGATGTTGCTTATTTTATCATTACTTGACGACAGTCACGTTTCTCCTTGTTAATTGAGAAAAGAAATATATATATTTTTTTTTTTGGTGCCATTTCATTTACCTCTAAGTGAAACGTATAGCTTCTTACCTCATCCCCAAAATCCTGTGAATGCTCTTGACACAGTGCTGTCACTGGCATCACATGATCCGCCTTTGTGATACCACCCCCCCCCCTCCTTTCTGAGAGGCGGAAGCCAAATTCCCTTCTCCCACACACTATCACGATTTTTTTATTATTTTCATCGGTTTCATTTCATAAGATACTTTTGACACCTTTCATACTTCGTAATAACACCGAATTGAACATGAGCCATTTTTCCATTAGAAATATAACTTTAATCTCTAAATATATCTAAAAGGCCGTACATTTAATCAGACACGTGTCACATTTGTCGCAAGAAGCAGAAACGATTCACTACCATCCACCACAAGGCTGACTAACATGCACATAGGCCAAAGATTGTTCAAAATAATAAATATAAATGAAAGGACGGCTTTCAAGCTTAGCAAATGAATGAAATAGCAAAATGAGGTAATGTGGAAGCTTGAAATAAGATAACAGGACCAAAAAAAAAAAAAAAAAAAAATATAAGAAAAAAAAAAACAAAAAAAAAAAAAAAAAAAAAAAAAAAAAAAAAAAAAAAAAAAAAAAAAAAAAAAAAAAAAAAAA